TTTTTTTTATTTTATTTTACATATACACGTATATTACAGCTACATCTCCCATATGACTTTCAGCCATAACCTCCTGAGGATATTGGGCCGTAAATCTCCCATATGTGATCACTGAAAAATTTTGCTGGGTCCAAAAATTACCAAGTTCTACAGAATTCTTCCCTTTAAAGAAGAATTAAGAAAATTACTTGACTTGGAATGTCGGTTTTTCTCTCTCACTAAAAACATGGTAGGATTCCCAGCAACATAGCAGAAACAAAAACAAAATTGAAAGGTACTTTTTTTTACAGGATTTAATTTCTAAATGAAATAATAATAATAATAATAATAATAATATTATTATTATTATTATTATTTTAAATTTGTTTGTGTTTACGGGCAGTACTGCTACTTAACGCGGATAATTCAAAAGGGTTTGATTTCACGCTTGGCATTTTTAGCTCTCTCGCTGTTATTCAAAAATTAAGCGAACAGTAATTTAGGATACATAATCTAAAAGCCTCTGCGCAAAATCGGCGCTCTCGCGGAGCGCGAGCACGAGCGCGAGCACGAGCGCGAAGCTCGCACTCGTGGTCGCGCTCGGCGCTCGTGTATCGCGTTTTACGCTCCCGCCTGTTCCCACCTGTCCAGAAAGTGGTTTTAAAAGACAGTACAGCCTTTCTTCTACAGATTGTTTAGTTTGACAAATGACTGGGAAAAATGAAAGAAAATTTTTTTACTTACGAGTTTTGGCTCGATGACCCCTATGACTGGAGAGTTAACATCAATATTATAAGACTTCTGCCAGTAATCACGCATCTGGAAAATAAGTGAAAAGATGCAGAGATCAATTTTAAATAGGCTAGTCCGCCCTGGCTTATTACAGGGCTGTTTTTATGGACACAGAGAATACATGGACAACGTAGCAAGCTGATTAGCGAAAATGTTTGACTGATTCGAGTTTGAGTGAGCAAAGAAATCAAAAATCGAAAATCACGTCGGAATATCTAGACGAGAAGGATTTTCTTCACACAGTTTCTTTTCGCGTTTTTCTCAGAGGACTTTATTTTTTTATCGAGTCCTGATTTCTTCCGTGATTTCATTTAGATTAAGTTTTCACCTTTAAATGAAGTCCCTGGAAAAGTGTTTACCTTTGATAACATTCGGTGAAACTTTGTGATAAATTACCCGAAGTTAGTCAACCCGAAACTTATTAACCAATCAGACTATCACACACGATCGCTCACGAGCACGCCAAAGCTATGTCGTCGGCTTGTCGTTACACACATCATATTGCTAGGAACTAGCAGTTTTCTTTGCAACCGTTATTTGTATAGTCACGCAACGCTTTTCATACTGCCGGTAACTAACTGGTGGGAGAGCGTAGCGTGACTTCCCAACTCTGTTCCCAGTTCCCGTCGCTACCAATTTTCAAGGGAAAAGCCTAGGAACCAGTCGAGGTTGGTGACGCCCGAAAATAATAGTCTCGGAGTTAAGCAACAAAAGATTTATTTAAGCACAAGGTCACAATAAAACTGTCCTATATCTCTATCACATGCAACGTACCGTAGGGAAAGGATCTGGGTCGACCCACAAGAAGTTCAATTTCTTGTTGTCGCCATAACGCCGGGCAAGAGACTTCACCAATGAGAAGAACTGCGCACCGTCTAGTAACAGGAAGAAATGAAAAGAAAAGCTGATTTTATTTGTCCTAATACAAAACAAATCAATGTATGTAGGCTGCTCTAGATTTTCTTTCGCGTTACAAATGTTTTCAGGCCTCGAGCAGACTATCAACACATCCGACGGCTAAGTATGGGCAGACCTGATGAACTGCGGTCGTTTCGCCCGGAAGTCAGTTCGCTCGAATCCAGTTCGTGGCCGATGGATCAAAAAAGAACAAGAACTAGGCATGTTTTGTGCAATTTTGTTGCATTATACCCACAATGTTGTCTTTTTTGTTCGTTTACTTTAAGAAAGAAAAGTTAACACATCTCTCTTTGAACTTTCAGTCCGGGCGAACTGACATCGGACGAACTGGCTGACGGGCGAAACGACCTGATTCCCAAAGTTCTCTCTTTCCCGCTCTTCTCTGTCCAGTAGAGATATAGTTAACATTTCTCTTTTGGGTTTGCCCAGCCTCGCTGTTCTCCTTCTGGCTCTTGAGCGTATCTAAACCTTTCTTTCTTTCTTCTAAAACATTCCTTACCTACCCGTGTCTTTCGGTTTTGCGTCGTGCACATTTTTGCGCCAAATAGATCACGCTTACATCGTTAAAAAAGTTTGAAACATGATAACGTACCGTTTGTATCTAGCCTCACAAATGCCGTTACCAGATAACCTTCCACCTTAGTCGACTAAAATGAAAACATAGATTAATTAACCAAGAATCTCGACCCAGTCTAGCCTGAAAGCCTGGAAGCCTGGAATGGCTGGGAAGAAATTTTCAAATGCGTGTCTGACCTTCAACAACTGATTTAAACTGTACAAGCGAATTCTCTGATGATACGCTGAGCTGAGCAGTGTTTAAACGCTTTTCCAAACACCCCGAAATTCGTCAAAAAATACCCCGCTGAGCGAAGTATTTTTAACTCCCCTCTCTTTGTTTAGAAATGCGGTAATACACGGTCTCTCGTTTTTGATATAATACATACCAGGCTTAAAGGGATGGAACCACGTTAAAAAGCGTGCCATAGAAATGTTTTCAATTTTCTGTATTTCACAAGAAGTTTGAACTCCTAGCGATGTGGAATTTGGCGTTAAATGCCGCTGAATATAAATGTAACGATCGGATAAAGATTTCAGCCATCGACACTTCTTGAGAGATAAATTTTGTTAGGTCCACTTACTTACCCAAGTGTCATGAATATCTTCAAGCCTAATCTTGGTCAAAATGCTTCTGTTTATATTCAAAAAGAAAAAAAAATGTGAAAAAATATCAATAACTTTTACTACACTCCAAATATTCTTACTGTGCCTTTCAATAACAAGTGGACTCTAAAATTCAAAGCTCAACCGACAAATGCGTTTTTAGCTACCTTCAATCAAATGTTCGACGGTTCCTTCCAGCTTCCGACTACTGCCGAACGCGCGGTAATCAAATCGTCGAGCACAATTCAGACAACGAAACAGTGCTCGGCAGTAGTCGGAAGCTGGAAGGAATTAAACCTAAATTTTTCAAGTTCATCGTTTGTAATCTGATTTCAATCTTCTCCAATCTTAACCATCCTTGTTCCTTTATGGTTTATTATTATCTCTTTGGTGTTTTCCTATCTTCGTCAACTTTTATTTTCAGGTTTCCTTCAATTTAAAAGCTGTCATTTTGTACGTAGCCAAAATAATAACAAAAATAATAACAAAAAAAAAAAAAAAAAAAAAAAAAAAAAAAAANGAGTAAATTACAAAATTCAAAATTCGTTATTTACTTTAACTACTCACTTTTTGTTGTTTGCGATAAAGTTGTTGATATTTTCCTCCGTTATGGCCTAAAATAAGACAATTGACAAGTCTTAGAAAGAACGTTACAGAATTAAAGAACCTGTGACACTCTTTTGTACATGTGCGGAGAATTTTCGACTCGAGCTCACAAAATTCCAAGGTTGACTTAAGTGGCGAAAATCGTTCTTTATGATCTTGCGAGGATTGTAAAAGTTATTGTGACGGTATTCAAGAAATTATTTGTCATTTGTGCAGGGTTTTCACAACATTGCTTTCAAAACTTTTTTGTGCAAAGATCGTAGAGGAATTTGATATTTTTGAGGGAAGCTATACGAAGGAGCAAGTTTTACACTTGTAAAGGAGCGAAGGAGGGACAATGAGGTTTCCACAGACAACGGTTTATCCAAAAGCCGCACAAGAAAATTGCAAATCATCATGGCCAACGCTAGTCTCTTCCGCAACCGTTTTCTGAGACGTCACGCAACGCTTCCCCAAAGAGAGGAACTTAACGTTGCGTGACATCGAAAAAAAAACGGCTGCAGAGGAGATTGGGCCAGGGCTTGCAGCATTAATATTGTTGCTCCTTATTGACTCAAGCTTGAAAATAAAAGCGTTCCAAGAAAATAAAACAGTGACCACAGCTGGTCAGCAACTGGAGTACAACCTACTGACCATAGGCAGCCACACCCACCATACCAGATATAAAGAATAACACATCTACACACCTCATTTGTAGGAAAAAAGACAGGCTTCTCATAGGGCTTCAACAGTTGGATGCTTTTTGGCTTCTTGAATCTCAACGACTTGGCAAGCTAATGTAGATAAGAGAAAAACAATTTCAAAGGGATTCAATCTGCTAACTGTAACAAAAATCTTTACATAAGTGATCACTTCACTTCACTTACACAACATAGGCAGCAGTTTTAACTCTTATGTATTCTTTGTAATCATCTATCTATTATGAAAGGGAAAAATATCATGCAAGAGTTGTAATGCTGTTGGTGTAATTTAGCCATGTATGTCTACCAATGTCATGTCAGCTTATGCATACTTCCTGAATCACATTCCACAAATAGACTAGATTTAACACTCGTTCCTTTGGGGTGATCTGAATCAGGATCAGTGATCTAAGATCTCTCGGAACATGGTGCAGCAAAAGGAACCAATGAATCCATGACAAGAGTGGATTCATTGGTTCCTTTGATGTACCATGATCTGAATGATCTTGGATCACTGATACTGATTGAGATCACCCCACAGGAATGTATGTTAAATGTAGTCCATGCAAAACTTAATGATACAAGGTACCTTTTTATCAAAGACTGCAAAGAATGGCAACAAGGGTTGGTACTGCTTGGCAGCATCCTCAAATGCCTTGATTTCTGACAGGGATATAACAAATAAAATAAAACAAATATAAGATCCCTCCAACTTGATTAGTTCCCAGTGTTTTACCCCCAGCCTCCCAATCGTGCCCCTCCCCAACTTCCTTACTCCACGTCAGCCTAATCAGACCACACCATCCCTACCTGGACTACTTGAAATTGCTGTCAGTGGCCTCTTGAACTAATCACTACGCCACTGTTCCCCCCTGGTTATGTTTCTCGGAAGTGTAACTGTTTGCCAATGTTAGGACTAGAAATAAGCTCGCACATGTAATCTCTCTAGTTGGAAACATAACAAAATTCTTTTGCTTCAGCTATACCTGGGGAATCCTTTTCCAAATACGCTACTACTTTGCTGCCATCAACATCTTCAAACACAGTTTTCTGTTTCTTGCTTTCTATAAGGGTGACAGGAGATTCAAACATCTGCAAAAGACAAAAAAAAAAAATAGACAAGTACAATTTAAACAGTTCTTTTTTAGTCACCTTCTGACATTTTAAAATCTTTTAGTTCATAGTTTGTTATGCTAGATATTTTAAATAATCTGTGCAGTGGTCCGAGTAAATTTATAAAAATGCATTAATATTGTTAATTTAAGGCCACTTGCTGTTGTGCTATAATGTAAGATTTCATTTAATATAGAAATTATGTATAATGGTATGAATGCATATTAATTTTATTGATTTATAATATAATGCACACAACATCATGATAAGTTTTATTTTTATTCATATGTGCAAACAAGTTAGCTAAACTACAAAACAAAAGACTTCTCAGTCATGCAACACTAACTTGCATCATCATATTGTAACCTCGTCTCAATTTGAGTGTTACAGTAAGCATTATGCAGTATTTGACAATTAACAATTAGACCCGTAGCCCNAATTTCGCTACTCGATGACTATTACTAATAGTCCCTTAGTAGCGTAGCCAATCAAAATGCAGGATTTGCATTAGTCCACTAGTTGGGTGATACTAATAATTATTATTGTATTTGCCAAAACTGACCTTGTGTAAATATCCCACAAGAATGTCAGCAGACCTGTTCAAAGGTATATTAAGTGAGCATGAAACTCTGCATGGATTGGGAGTATCTGTCACTGCATACTATGCCGGTCTTACTTTTAAATTAAAAAAAAATTGTCCTCTGAAAAGTGATAAACTACTAAATAAATATTTATTTATAAAATATTGTTCAATAATTATTTAATATTAATATTATTAAATGTCATTAAATTGCACGTTGCACAAACATGCAAGTAAAATGCTAACAATTATTGCAATTTACCTTCTACATCTTGAATCAATTTACAAGTAGCGGGCAGTAAAAATTTTCATGTTGTCATCTTGGACCAATTTGCCGTATTTTAAATAATTAAAAGAAATTATAATAATAAAATTAGCACCTGCATCAGAACTGCTAACAACAACAAGTCTAAAAAAAGCAATAAGGGCTAGACTTAACATTACATATTATTAACAATAATTAATCTACTCACCTGTGCCCAAAATATTCTATTCTCTTTCCTCTATGAAATATCATTATTGCACCAGAGTATTTCACACCTGTGATAATAATAAGCATCAATTAATGAATGTACATGTTGATGTACAAAGTGCAAGCGAGACCCTGAAAAAACAGGTCGATAACTTAATTATAAGAAATATTTTTGAGTGCAGTAACCACAAAGTCTAATTCATTAGATATCTTAGAGTTCATTCACTGTCAATTCATTAACAATTTAAAAGTCAAAAAATTCTCAGATTGAGGTCATTGAATCCTCTTGGTTACTCCGCATATTGTGATCTGATTCGTACCACTCATCCCGTGCTCGCTTTTGAAGCGTTTTTCCTGGGGTTTTGGGAAGAATCTAAATAAAGGTAGCAAGAGCTTCATCCTCTTTGTGCAGCTGTGGAGGGGCCTGCATACATTATTGTATGACTCAATTTAGTTTTAAATGGAAATGTGTTACAAATTGGCCATCAATGCATGAAGCAACGTGATAAGGTAATGACTGGCCATGCTTTATTTCTATTATCTTTAATTAAATTATACAAATTTAAGAATTAACAAAGTAACATCAACTGTCAAAATAACTGATAACTACTGACATTCCATTATAATGTTTATAAACATTTAGGGTGCTGAGACTGCACAGTACAGACTAGAAATCATCTTAAAGGGGATACCCACCCATGTTTTGAGCCAATTCCATGCTATCAGCTACATTTACAATGCCAACCGTCACACCCTGTGGTTGAAGGACTCGAGCTACGATCTGTTAAGAGATAATGTACAGGAAATCAAAAGTAAATTAAACAACGGAGGTAATTAAGGTGGACTGATTTTTAGTGTGCTAGACACCGGATTAAGTGCTCTCGAGGTATTATTATGTGGTTAGTGTGTTCTCAGAGGGAGACAATTAGGGGTAAGGGGAGCGAGGGGGGCTTGGCCAAAAATTTTCTGGTATTTTCTGAAAAAAAAAATTGACTCACTGTCTTTGAAGCTGAATTTTTCATCCAGTTTGAAGGGTGGGGGAGGGGGGTGGGGGGTAGTGGGGTGCTAAGACTTAACAAAAGGAAAGATGATGTCAGTAGCTTTATCAGCATAGAAACTAGCATGATTTTTTCATTATTATTTTTTATCCATCTAAGCTAAGACCTTCCTGATTTTGGCTGGTTTTACAGGCAAAAAATAAATTGTAGGCTTATATTACATGTATTCTCAATTCTATACTATTGACCACTGCCTCCCAAAAAAATGCTGAAAATCAACAGTGTGAGTTTCAACAGTATCTCCCCTCTTGATGTTTACCCCACAAAAGTGGTTTGTACATGTTTGAAACATTCAAACCCCCCCCCCCCCCCCCCCCCCCCCCCTC